CTCTCAGCACAGGGCTGGTAAAGTAAACCACAGGATATCCTTAAAATAAGATCACATGCACCTGCTGGAAAAGAAGATAAGTTCCTCTTGCTAATGAGGAAACACCTCCAAGATATACAAAGAAATAAAAGCAAGCTATGGGTGTATAGCAACCCATCTAAATATGTGTTGAAATTCCATTTTTGAAATTCCAAAGGACATATAAAAGACTTAAGGATACCACTGACAAACAGGACTGAGATAATATAGAGGGTGACTTTCACTTTTTAAACTCTACTGCATTTGCTATTTTATTAATAATACATAATACACAGTAGTTTCTGCATGGTCTGCAAGCACCTGCTTGCTCTCTGTAAGAGTGGGGAAGTGAACTTTCTCTCTAAGACTTCCCATGGCAAACCAGGGAACCGGCTGAGTGGGGGAGGGGTGGCCACTCCAGCAACCCAGGTGCCCGCTTGGGCTATTAAAGTCCCTGGTTCTCCTTCACTCCTCTCTCGTTTATTTGGTGCTAATGCAGGAGAGAAGAGAAAGGTTCGTTTCTGTTCCTCCAGTTAGAGAGCTACAGAGTCCATCTCTGAAAAGCTAAAAGATGACAAGTAGTTATTCCATTGGCAAAAGATGCTAAAGAAGAATCAGAGGGTTTTCCCCAATGCTGTTTGTTATAAATCATCTCTCTGTATCTGCAGGGGACTGTTTCCAGGATCCCTGTGGATAACAAAATCTGCACATACTCCACTCCTACAGTCCGCCCTCCAGAACCCACATTCATGGAAAGCCAGTCCTCTGTGCCCATGGGTTTCACATCCAGTGAATACTGTGTTTTCAGTGGTGTCTGGTTGCCCAGGGAGAACCTATAGAACCAATAGATATGAAGATCCACTGTATTTTTTGGAAAAAAAAAATCTGTGTCTAAATGAACCCAGGCAGTTCAAATCCATGTTGCTCAAGGGTCAATCACATATTACAAAACCAGACAAGTGAAAATGTTTTCCAGTCCCAAGTGTCATACTAGCCAATTTCCATGAGAATGAGAAGGATCAGACATCAGTCCAAGGGGCTGTCTTTTCCAGCTTATAATCTTCTGTTTGTCTATATCAAAATGATAACTCTTTCAGCTAAAATTGCTTCCACAAGAAAAATCACAGTAAGCCCTAATGTTGAAAAGATAAAGTGAAATCTGTAACAAAATTTTCTGATGTTGAAGATCTTAAAGAGTATTTGAATTTTGTTTTGTATGTATTCTTTCAGAGAAATGTCTCTAAGAGTGTAGGCAGAAAGAAGGGTCATCAAACATTATGCTTCTGTTTTTCCTATAATTTGACCTTGAGACTTGAACTGCAGAGGCTACTTATGTAATATTGAGTGACCTTTCCAGATAGTATAAAAACTACTCCTATGGTATTGTTCTTTTGTGAGATAATCACAATACACAGGCATTTATTAAAGGTGGTCTATTTATATCATATATTCCTTCATTCATTCATTTTTGGGCTTTACTGATAGATCTAGAAAGCAAATTCAGTGTCAGCCTGAAAAAAATCTAATATATACTTAGCTGAAAATACACTCTCACTAAATTTGATTCTGTGTAAGTATTAGTACCAAAAAAAAAACAAATGATTTCATTTTTGGTTGCAAGGTCTAAAAGTAATTATTGAAATGAACAAAGTATGCCTGATGCATTGAGCTGTCTGTGGTACTGAAAAATGACACCAAAGCTGAAATTTATTGAGCTGGGTTCTCACCAAGCGTCCTCATCACACTATTTTAATTCAAGCACTTCCGACCATGACTCACCTGAACCATCCTATTTTGCCAGAGTGTGTATAAACATTTTCTAAAAGGTCACACTGACTTGCTTTCCAAGGTTCTCCATGAAAATGTCAGGGCCTCCCCAAGCTTCGTTAAGCAATTCCGGTGGAAAGAGAGCCAGAGCATCAGCTGTAACACGTACTTTTCCTGAACACAGTGAGAAATCATATCATGTACCAGAAACCCACACTAGCTAGCTGATACCATGTGATCATCGGATCGATATGCTAAAAAGCAAAGAAAAACTATCAGTTCAGATTATGTGTTACATCTAAGGATGTACTATGAATGGCAGCATAATCCTGCTTTTGAGTTCCTTAACTCAAAGCTAATCGATGCATTTGGAGTTGTCTGCAGTGAACTGAGAAGTGCCCAGCAACTTAAAACTTCGTAGGAAGGAAAAATACACTTACAGCAGTGACATCACTAAGTTAAAAGGGGGAAGCAGAATTCATCACCTTCCACACATATACATGAGCCTGTGCAGTTGGTGTCACTGACTTTTAAAGTGAGGTGTTTTGACAGCACTGTGGACTCTATTCTCTGAATGAGTTAGAGCATTCCTACTCTTCTCTGGTTTTTGACTCAGGACTCCTCACCTATGTTTATCCTCTTCCTTGTTCTTTTTTTTTTTTTTTTAATAAAAGCATCTCAAATGAGAATTTAGGGCTTCAGGTTGTGGAAGAAATCTCTCTGGACCAAACATGGAACGCGAAAGCTGTATCCAAAATAACTAAAAGGTATTACCCAGTTATTCTGAAATTAAGTGCAGTAGGTTTAACAGAAATCATGATATACAAAATAAACTGAACATAAAAAACCCCATTCTGCACGTACATGTAGCCCAACAGTGAAGAATCTCACTGTGCTTATTCTCTGAAGGTAGGTCTGTGTCCTTATTTTCTTGCGCTGGTTATACATGCCCTAATTAATAAATCTATGCATCTGCATAAAAGTCCTCAAAAGGAGCCAGTGAGTGGCATGTTTTCAAGCATGAAATCATCCATGACAACACAATTTCCCAAATGTTGTTACTTCTGTGAGTTTCTACAGTTCTAATATGGAATCAGTTTTTTGGAAGATACATAATTACCACTCGGTAACTCCTCTGAGGCTCCCAGGAGGCATTTCGAAAACATCTCCCAGAATTCTTAAGAAGTCAGTGTTTCCAAGACACTTTGTTCTTGATGTTAATACCAGCAAATGTCTTCCCCCATGAGTGCTTGTTTAGGTGTGTCATTTTCAGAAGAAATAGGCAAAAGTGTTTAATAAAAACCAGCGAGTCTCTCATTTCAGAATAAAGTAAAACCACTCTAGCCTTCAAGCAAAACGTTTTTTTTTTTAAGTTACTTGATTTTTAAAAATATGTCAGAACATTTTTGAAATAATCTTTTCAATCAGACCCTATTCATATACTAAACTTCTGGATTTAGCAAAATATGTGCGAAGAAATATCCACATTTCTGGGCTTTTAAGAGGCAGCAGCAGGCGAGGCAGGAGGCGGAGTGGACTGGAAGGTAGGGGACAGGGTCTGTTCTCACTGTGCGGGGCTGGTCTAGTGCTGTGGCCTAGCAAGCTACTCATCTCGCCTGACTTCAATCTGTAAACTGAGTCAAAGGACCTAGATTGTTCCTTTCAGCTCTATTGCCTACGCTTCAAATTAAAATTAAAAAAAAAAAAAGACATTGCTTCAAGGCCTTTTGGCTAAGATCACATGTAATAAAATGAAGAAAAGATAAACTCACAATGTTTAAGTTGTATTTTAGTATCACTTTAAAATATATGAAAGAACGTCAAAAGCCCACCATTATTAGTGCTGAATGAAAGACACATCTGTATAAATTATTAAATTAAAAAAATTTAAATGAGTTCGTCTTATTTTACCAGTGCAATTTTATTACTTATTTCTGAAGACTCTCAAATTCTTTTGAATCCTCACACTCTAACCACATCCTTTCAAAAAGACATTCTTCAAAGTTTTGCAGACAGGAGAGCAAGATGAAGTAATTTCCCTCCGCCCTCACATGTTGTCACGTGCATCTTTATTTTGTTTGGGCAATCATGAAAAGATATCTCTTCCATACCTAGTGTGTGTTGCTTAACTGAAAATTTATTTAACTTAAATTAGTACTAAATTACTTAAATGGCAAGTCCTATATAATCTTCTGAAATGAACAGCAGTCAAAATTAGAGGCAGTCTAAAGGAAGGATGCCTAAATTTGAGGGTTTCATAGTCCCACCAAATTTGTAACAACTGCTCAAAAAATAAAATCATAAAATACATGGGTGTACACTCAAACTGGAAAAATCCCAATCTCTCTGGCTTTTGAAAACTAGATACCTTAACTCATAAATCTTAATATTCCTTTCACTGTAGACTAAGATGACCCATCCGTTTTAATAGTATTCCAATATGGCAAATAATAGCCAGATTTAACAGCAGGGCTCCTGACTACAATCAAATACAACTAAAATTTTCCTAATAAAATAGCTCACAAGGGCAATGACCTTAACTCTTAAATTACATTTTGAAAAAAATAACTTACTGATTGTAGCTATGAATCTACTAAACTACTAGATATTTCGAATGTGCATTCTGAAGTGAAATGATTGTCTCTAAGAATCTATTAAAACTATTAGACAGACACAGAATTTGCTTTCTTAACTTACAACATTTTTTTAAATGTTAAGGCATACTAGAACAGTAGCAGCTATCCCATATCTTATTTACATAAATTAGCTAGCAACTCATGACCCTATCTTCTCTGTGTTCCAAAGAGAAGATACATATTGACACAATCTCCCATAATGACGCACTCACTAGGAAAAGATGTCTCCCAGACATACACAAGTTTACCCCAGATTAGGGCTAGTGCATAACTGCCCTTAAGGAAGATGATCCTTAAGGGCTCTGTGACTGATCTGGGGAAGAGGATCTACCTGAAAAAGCGAGAAGAAAATCGTCAGGGTTCAACAGATACACCCCAGAGACTATGGCATATTTATGGGCTACACTGTCTTGTGCTGTGTTTAACTTCTGGAAAGAACAAGGCAGTTGCTAGCGTAAGAATGTGTCTTCCATAAGCACAAGCAAGGACCTGAGGCCTGAGGAGAAGTCTCTGCTGCCTGCGTCTCCCCAGGCTGTGTGCACAGCTTTAGCCATTCATAAACAGCAGAACCTAAGTTACCTGTATTTCCCTGGCGTGGTACACGATGATCAGACCGAGCAGGATGATCGTGGAGAGACTGATAAGGCATTTCAGAGCTAAGGAATACAGCGACGCCTGCAACACAGCCAGACAGAAGCAATTTTAAGAAAGAAGCGCTTTAAACCACCTCCCAGACCCGGGGGTGGGGGTTGCAGAGAGTCCCCACAAGTGGACCTGAACTAACAGGAGAAGTGGGGGGGAGGGCACCCGTCTTGGCTACGTGATCTTTGCAATCGCTAAGGTGCAAAACGAAGCGAGAAGACAGCGGAGCTGGGAACACGGGTGTTTGGGCTGCCGGGTTTGCGCCATCGCGGACCTAAGAGCCGCAGCTGCTACCCCGTGAAACCTAAGAGGAAGTTACTCCCGAGTTTAAACAGCTGCGGGTTAAAAGGGGCCTCCTAAAAACAAGCACCTGGGGCAAATACAGGTGCTTTCCTACCAACTCCTGTAACCATTGCCCATGCCCAATTGCCCTCACCGCTCTGAACCACCTTGAGAACTTCGGTCGCACGCGGGGAGGGTTCCTAAGAGTTGCCCAGCTGTCTGGGACTGCGCGTCCTAGTCGTGGCTGCTGTGCCCACTGTCCCCGCCGCCACCCCGATCGTCCCGAGAAAGCTGGGGACCCTCCAGTAAAGCATCCCGGCCGGTGCCTATCCCAACCACCCGGCGGCCGGTTCTGATAGGGTGGGCAAGTGTTCAGTGTACCTTGTCGTAAGCGCCCCACGACAGCTCGGTCTCGATGACCATGACCACGATGCCGAACATGCCGAAGATGAGCGCGTAGTCGCTGAGCCGCTTGCGCTTTTCGAACAAGGCGCGCCGGTGGCCCAGCTTGTAGCCGATGTTCTGGTTCTTCTTCTTGCTAGTCTTGGTACCGCTGCTGCTGCCGCCGCCGCCGCCACCACCGCCGCCGGCGGCCCCATAGAGCGCCAGGTTGTTGGAGTTGTTGTGTTCGGGCTTAGACACCACGATCTCGGGGGCTGAGGACGAGGCGGCGGCGGCGGCGGCGGCAGACGGAGAGGACGCGCCGCCACCACCTCCGACGGACGCGGGTGGCTGCAGGGGCTGAGCTTCTGAGTCCATCTCGTGTAGGTTCCGGCGGGACGCGCTCAAGTTGCTGAGCGGCCGCATGACGCCCCCGTTGTACCTGCAGCTGCTCATGGCTATTTCGGTGAAGGGGTTGCTCTCGCGGCGCGCCTGGGGCTGGTGGTGCTGGTGGTGCGCTGGGTGCGAGTGGTGGTGGTGGTGGTGCGAGAGCGGGGGCCCGGAGCCCAGGCTGCCGAGGCTGCCCGTGGGGCTGGCGGCGGGCTGCAGGCTGTGGCACTGGTGGTACTGGGAGGCGGACGCCGGCTGCTGCGCGTACTGCTGCCGGAGCGCACTGGCATGGCTGGACGGCGTCAGCTCGCTCACATTGAGCTGGCTGCCCCGGCGCGAGGAGCAGCAGCAGCAGCACGAGGAGCCCGATAGCGGCGAGGAGGTGCGGGTCCGGAAGGCGCCGCCGGGCGAGGAGGTGCGGAGCAGCAGGGACAGGTTATCCCCCGCCCCCGCCCCCGCCGCCGGGGCACCGGAGGAGGCGCAGCTGTTGCACCGGAGGCATGGGCTGCTGCCGCCGCTGCCCGGCTGCTGGTGCGCGAGGTGCGGGTGGTGGTGAGGGTGCGGGAGGGGCGCGAAGGGTGGGCACGGCTTGTCCTGGCTCTGTTGCTGCTGCTGGCAATGCAGGTGTGAGGAGCGCGGCGGCGGCGGCGGCTGCTCTGGGAAGAAGCCGCGCTGGAACTGCAATGGGGTTTCCATGTCAGGGCTGTTAAAGCTGCAGGGAGACCAGGCGGTGGTGCACCCTGCGCAATGCGTTATGGTCGGGAGCGGGGACTCCTGCTGCTGGTGCGAGGAAGGGCCCATGCCGGCTCCGGTAGAATCCAGGCGGTGAGTCCGATTGGTTGGGCGCACCAAAACAATGGGCATGACATCACCTGCCGGGACCGAGACTGAGTTTGCGGCGCGCGGCTGAGGGGAGCGTGTGTGAGCGAGGGAGATGGGGAGGTGAATCTGCAGGATGGAAGCCCCGGGGGGCGCAGGCCTGGCCAGGGGTAGGGTGCTGGAGCACGGAGATGTCACCTGCTAATTAGTGCGCCCCCAAGCACTGCTGAATGAGGAAAGCCCTCGTGCAGTGTTAGGCAGGCTGCAGGGGCAGGAGAAAAGAGGGGGCGCCTCTCCCTCCCGTGATGCTGCCCCCCTGACTAGAGCCGGACGCGCTGCCCGGATCACCTGCGCCAGGCACTGCAGCACGTCGGGCCACCCGGGCCACGGGCAGACGCAGGGACAGTGCAGACCCGGCCACTTCGCCTGCACGCCTCCTAGGGCTGCAAAACGCAGCCCCCTCGCCCTACGCCCGCATCTCCCTGGCTGACCGGCTGAGAGTGGGCAGCCGGCTGCTCGCCAAGTAACTGCGGGGGCAACGGCTTTAGGGAGGAAAAAGTTTGGCGACTGGCTATGCTAGTGCAGCGGCATTTGGGGAGAACACCGCGGCCTAAGCCCCGCCTCGGCCGCCGCGGGATCTCAGCTAGCCCCGAGCCCCAATTTTCCCCGCCGCACGTTTCGCAAGCCGGGAGCCGGCGCTTTGCGCTCTCGCCCCAGCACGCTGCGGCGCGGACAGGGTTAACCGCCACAGCACTCCGGCCGGGGGAGGGTGGGGCTGGGTGGGGGCGGGGCCGGAGGAGGGGATCCCCGCTGTCGGCGGGAGGAGCCGGCGCGGGCTTCCCGGGTCCCCCTGGCGGGGGCGGAGGGCTTTCCCAGCTCCTGCCTGCTCACATTTGCGCCTACTGCGGAACATGGGGGGCTGGCGCCCCCGGCCGCCTGGTGCTGGGCACCCGCGCGCAGGTCCTCCGGCAGCCCGAGTGGGGAGGCGGCGGGCGGCTTCTCCGGCAGTGGAGAGGCGGCTCGCTCACAGGTCTGGGGGCTGCTCAGCCTCCACCCGCCTCCAGCTCGTCGTCTTCTCCTCTTCCTCCCCCTCACCTGGAGCACAGACACAAAGCAGAGACCGGTCACAAATGCGCAAACACCGAACAGCATCTTTGCCAAGCCCTACTGCGGCGGAGGGTGGGAGACCGGCCAGGCACGGGCTGATTCACCTTGGTAGTCACAGCCTGCCTGGGCAATTATTAATAATGATACCTCGGGCTGCATAATTGCTGCTTGGGGACAATGCTAGAGTTTTGTTAGAGTTAGATATAAAAATAACTTATTGTCTCTCTAATCAACAAATAAAAATTGCATCTCGTGTCTCACAAATTGCCCGTGATGGGTTCTCCTACACGTGTCAGGCGATATGCAAACACAAAGAGCTCGGGGATGCTTTTGAAGGTTCTTTGTTACTGCTCCATCTTAAGTCTTTCCACTTGCGTTTCTTTGTGAATTGGAACTCCCGTGTTACCCAAAAGAGGATGAAAGAAATTGGCCAGCTAAATATTTGTTTCCATTTTAGATTGTGATTTTAACGCATGATTTTTATAATAGAGATTATAATGAATTAGACCAAGGAATTAGAGTGAAAGCGGATCCTCTTCATTAGGTAATTGGAATTCTCAGCTGGATCCAATTTCGTGATATCCTATTCGGCAGCTGCCCTAAAGCTGCTTACCTGGTGTCTGCTTGTAAGCGGGTCTGTGTGCGCGTGTGTGCGCTTTCGGTGCCCTGGGGTGAATAATTCATTTTAGGATAGTCTCTGGACATGTGTTAAGCAGTGTTAATTTTTTGTATTTGCAGGGAGACAGGCCTGGCAGAAACAAGGGGAAGAGGTGTTGTAGTTTCACAGTTTTCCCCTTGAGAATGAGCGCTCAGCCCAGAAATCCCTTTCTCCACGGTCTTGGTATAGAAATTCTGTGGCTAACAATCAGACAGCATTTCATTTTTATAATCAATATGATTTTTTCTTTGTATGTCCAAAATGACCATTCAATATTTAGAATCATGAAGCTCACTGAATTTTTTTTTGGGGGGGGAGGGCTCAGCAGGTACTGCATAAGCTGTGTCCAGAGTGTGATTTAAGAACAATCCTAATATGTAACTTGAATGTAAAATAAAAGCTTTCCAATTAAAAGCTGTTCACCTTCTGCTCTGAAAAAACATGCAACCCAAACACAAAATCTATCAAATGTTTATTAGTACCCTTTTCTACAAATTATATGGCCTCCTTGCAGTTGCTCTATATAGCTGATTGAAAATGTTTGATTTACCCTTACAAACCTAGATACTTCAAAGAAGTGCTATGGTAAATGAATAAATATTTTCATTAGCTGTCCATAAATTTACATGAACATTTACATACATCTCACTCCAAAATACCACAATAGTTGTTACCAGCATTCAATTAGATATCAAGTTCAAGAGTTACTAAAACATCATACAAAAAATAATGGCTGGATCCCTTGTGTCAAATTGACTTTCTCAGATACCAAATTCAAGGCTTCAAATAAAGGTTCCAAAAATAAAATGACAGGAAAAATATATGTATTGTACCTTTTGCCATGTATATTTCTATGCTTTAGTATGGGATTAATTGCTGTACTGCTGATCACGGAGAGACAGTGCTTGCTGAGATTTAGGGCAATGTATATGGAGTTGGCATTTTTTTCAAACAGGGTGCAGGGAGGATGGAATACACAAAGTACATTAGAAAATGGAAATTTGGTCCACAACACCAGGGACTGTCAGAACACCAAAACTTGGCCTAGCCAATATTTTGAAAAAGCTCATAAAAAATTAAGTGAAAGTCACTGTGATGGGACAGACAACGAGAGCATGTCAATCATACATTTATTCCCTTTCTGTTAAGGAATCGGTTGATCACACACACTAAAAAAATCGCTTTTTCTAACAAATGCACATAGAGAGTGTGATTAGCATGACGGTGAGAAGACAAGGATGAAACCCCACAACTTTGTGTTTAGGTTTTAGTCCGAATCATCCATAACTCTATTGCATGGGGCATCTAACCCTGTTCAGCTGTGACAGGCATAGTTAAAAAGTTCTTATTTTCATCATTCCTCTTTTTTTATGAAATAAATTTTAAGCTTATGTGTAGACTTATAAAAAATACATAAACAATTGTTTTTCTGTATAAAGTTGTGCAGATCCATGTGATGTGAAGCGTGACGTAGGCAGTATTCCGCGTGGACAGCGCTTTGCACACACCGAGTTGTATTTGTGAGAGTGAAGGAAGGGGGAAGGAGAGGAAGGAAATGAAAGTTGAGTGAGGGGGAGACAATTAAGGACCAGTAACTTAGACAGATAAGCCTTCAAAAAACCACATTTGCTTCTCTTTCTTCCATTGAGACACGTAAGTGCTGAAATTTCCCTAGATTAACACCAGAGGTCATACTCATCCACGAAATTGCATTTCAAATCTAATCAATTAAACCCCTTTGAAATAACAGGATCCATCATTTTTTATAAAAATTACCTATTTTTTTCTTCCGGTCTACAAAAATTGCGTCCTCCTATTCGTTGTATTTCAACCTTGTGAATACACCCATGCAACGAGACACATGTTCTTAAAAAAATGACTTTCACAGAAAACTTTAGGTTGGGTGTGCTCCTATTTTGTTCAGATTTATATTATACCATTGTTTACAATTCTCTTCTTTATAGGAAGTCTTTGTCTGTGCTATCTCCCTTTGTTGCAACTTAAAAAACAGGACCCTCTCGAATGTTGGTGTTTTTGATCTATTTCCAAGGACAATCAGAGCAGGGGTCAGTGGCATTTGTTCCCTGAATTGAGTGATTAGAAGAAAAATTTTGACCTACAAGATAAACATGTTTTTGCGATTGATTCTTTTCTTTGCCCAGGTGAGTCAATTGCAGTATTTGGTGGTACTGAACACAGAGGTGGTGATGAGATGTAGCCTCTCTGAACTTAGTGCATGCAAGTGGGGAATCGGGATAGTATCAGTTGTTTTCTTAGCAAACTAACAATTCCATGTTTCCTAAAACATAACTATTAAAAGGCCCTTAAAGCACCACTATTCTTATGTCTCCCATAGTAACTTCATAAGAAATATACTATGTTTGGGCAGTGCCTGTGGCTCAAGGAGTAGGGCAGTGGCCCCATATACCGGAGGTGGTGGGTTCAAAGCTGCCCCCAGCCAAAACCTACAAAAAAAAAAGAAAGAAAGAAAGAAAGAAAGAAAGAAACTACATTTGAAGACAACATCAAAATATTTCTATGTATTCTTTATACTTCTAGATTATGATAATAAGGTATTAAGACATACATGAGCCAATTGATAGTTTGCTAGTTTTTAGCAATATCTGTATTTTTAGGAGCTAATTATGTTTGGGGCCTATCTATTCACTTCACTAACTTTTTAAATTTTTCCTACTCTTACATTTGTCTCCTGCCATTTCTCAGCTACTTAGATACCCATAGAAAGACTCAGGAATGCCTGCAGAAAAAAAAAATAAATAAACTCACACTGATTTTGCTAGTTTGCTAGTAGAATCAAATTTCTGATACTTAAATGGATGAACAGGATGAAATTGAGTGTGAGAAGTCTTTTTAAAATAGTTTTCAGATTTCATGAATAAATATCCTGTAGTAGCAAGAAACACACATGCAAATTGAGAAAGTGATAAAATTTAGTGCACAGCATATTCCACTGAAGTTGGTAAAGCAGTTTCTCAGATGTTATTTAATTTGCATCTCCCAACAACCCACGTGGAAGGCAGGGAAAGTTTTACCATCATCTTTGTTTTCCAGGTAAGGATAACATCTGAGATGCAGTGCCTGCCTTCCCCAGGGCCACACAGCTAGTAAGCAGTCAGGAGAAGCAGACTTCAAACACAATGTTCTGAATCTGTCTGCAAGACCATTTTACACTCGGCTTGCTTTTCTCCACTGCAGAATATAGGAACAGACAGCAGTGGCCATCATTACCAGAAATGGCTTGTGAATAGCCTCACAGACATTTCCCCACTGGCTTCTTGGTCTCTGTGATCCTTAATTTTTATCCTCTTGTTGACTGCATTTGATCAACAGAATAATTTGTGAGGATATAATGCAACTGTTAATGAACTAGCAAAGCTGTATGCCTGCAGGTCCAAGATACCTAATTAAAAAGTATTTTAAAAAAATCCTGATGTATATAGACACACTTTTCTATCTACTTTGCTGCCAGTCTAAGCATTCTTAATTTTGGGCAGTATCCATAATAAAAGCTGAAGGTCAATGGCAAGTACTTATTGGCACTAGAAAAGGCCATTTCATCTCTTTGTACAATAAGGGAAAAGGACCAGGTTCAAACTTTTTGCCCTGCAGCTCAGAGGAATCTGTCTGCAGCCTTGCAGGCATCCAGCCTGCCTCTTTGGCTCTCTGTGCCCTGGCAGTCCTCTCACTGCTTCTCCCTTTATGCCAAAAAGGGAGAGA